AATTTTTTCGGTGGATATAGCATTTTTGTTATTAAACAGCTAAGGGTCTTTTTGTTCTTTGACAATAAATGAATCTTATAAATTTAAAAAACTAAAATATCTACTGAAAACCAAATAATATTAAACAAAAGGGAGAACAACATTTTCCCACCCAAGGTTTGGTGAAACGACACTTTCCCACTCTTCAAGTTAATGACACTTTTCCACCATTCAGTAGGTTCTATTATGTTTTCTATTAATATTTTACTAAAAAGACGAAAATACCCTTAAATATTTGACTTTATAAAATTTTTATTATTTTTAATTAACCAAAAAGTCAACTATTAAAAAGTTAAAAAAAAAAAAAAAAATTTGGTTAACCCTACTTAAAAAGTTAGGAGTAATGCTATAGAATTGTTTAAAATTAAATGTCATCAATATCTCATCACTATTATTCAATAATTTACTAAATTTATAATGATTTTCATTTTTACTAATTAATATAGAAAATCAATATTCCTAATTAATTAAATAAACAAAAGAAAAAATATATCTTTATACTTGAACTAATAAATAATCGAGTAAAGATTTTAACTTAACTAAATTTTAATTTATAATAAACTAATTAAGAAATAAACTGTTTAAGGGTATTCTCGTCATTTCAGTCAAATATTAATAGAAAATACTAACAGAACCTGATGGAAGATGGGAAAGTGTTATTTTAAAATTTGACAGATGAAAAAGTGTCGTTTTACCAAACCTTGGGTGGGAAAATATCGTTCTCCCTAAATAAAATAACGAGCGACGGATTGGGCCGTTGGGGGTGAAGGTGAGGGTGAGTTGGTATGGTGGTAAGGGCTTGCTGGTCCAAGTGGGGGTTGCTGGGAGTTAGTGTCTATGTGCGTCCTTTCATCTTTTTTCCTTTTAAACTTTAATTTTATTTGTTTTACAGATTTGATTTTTTTTTTTTTTTTTTAATCAAGGTGTTCGAGTCAGTTTGCATACTCCTCAACTGATCATTAGAGTTTATTAAACATTCTACAAACCTAAAAAGTCAAGTAAGTCATAATATTATTGTGATAAATGTTCAAAAGTTTGAACCTAAGACCATATTTGTTAATATACTAATTAAATTAATATATATTTTCAAAATAAAAATAAGTTAAATGAGATTAAAGATTAAATTGATAATAAATTAAAAGGGTAATATAGTCTTTTAATATAAAGGATGATTACACAGTTAGATCTGGATAAAACATTAGTTGTCTGAAATGGATTATTCTGATTAGACCTGGCAAACGGGCGGGCCGGGCAATTACGGGTAACGGCAGTAGCGGATCCAAGAATTTCTTTTAGGGTGGGCCAAAATAAAAATTTATTATACATTACTATTTTTGTCCATTAATTTTTTTTTTAGGGTGGGCCAAAATATATAAATTTACATATTAATATTAAAAAAAAAATGGCCCACCCAAAAAGCGGCTGGATCCGCCACTGGGTAACGGGTAAAACGGACGCAGGTCGATGGGTCGAAATATGCATGACCCATACCCACCCGTGCGGGTACGGATCGACCCGCGGGTCACTGCTTATTTTGCTTTTTAACATTTTTTTCTTTTTCAATTTTTATTTTAAAGTTTTTTCTCTCATTTATGTATTTCTCTTTCATCTTCGTCTTCTTCTTCCCTCTCTCCAATTCTTCTTGTCTTTTTCTCCCTCCTTATAGCACATTTTTTGCTTTTCAGTTCGTCTTCTTCTTCTCCCTCTCTCCAATTCTTCTTTGTCTTCTTCTCCCTCTCCACTTTTTCACATTTCTTCTTCTTCTTCTTCTTCTTCTTCTCTCTCTCTCCAATTCTTTTTGTCTTTTAATCTTTTTCTCCCTCCCCACTGCACATTTTTTCCTCTTCAGTTCGTCTTCTTCTTCTCCCTCTCTCCAATTCTTCTTCGTCTTTTTCTCCCTCTCCCCTTTTTCATATTTCTTGTTCTTGTTCTTCTTCTCCCTTTCTCCAATTCTTCTTCGTCTTTTCTCCCTCTCCACTTTTTCATATTTCTTCTTCTTCATCAGTCTTCACTCTTCCAATTCTTCTTTGTCTGATTGAGAGAAGAGATTGGGAGAAATGTGGCGTGATCTGTGTGAGAAAGATTGGGAAAATGATTTAAGGTTTTAATTTTTTAATTATTTTTAAAATAAAATGGGGTCACCCGTGGGTATTACCCGGCCCACCCGCTTTTTTCACGGATGGGCCAGGGTAAAAGTTTTACGGGTTAATTTTAGGGGTACCCGTACCCGCCCGTTAGGTGCGGGTACCTGTTTACCCGCGGGTACAGGTCATCCATTGCCAGGTCTAATTCTGATATTGGACATGGGGCCTGTGTGTTGCACAGGTATGTTTATTCAATGTTTTTGAAATAGATTGTAAACAAATTTATTCTAACAAAATAAACTAAATAGATTAAGCATAATAAGTGTTAAATTATACAAATTTTAAAGTAAATATAAATTGTATATATATACAAAGTTGTGTTAAGATAAAATTAATAATTGTACCTGTATAATTATTAATATCAATTATATGCAGATGTTATTAAATCATACATCCAACTTGAGAAGATCACATGAATATTATATGGTTTAATTATATTTTCAGGATCATCACCTTGTACAATTGATATTATTTTGCAGACATGTCTGTGATATTCGATATCAGTATTTTGTATTGAATCATGTATGATACTTAATATCACTTGAATATTATCAAGATCAACTATTTAAACTCAAAATTTATATCGACTTTCCGTAATTTCTGTAACTTATATTCATTTTCATATTGCGTTGCGCATGTATGTTTATTATTTTTTTTTTCATTATTATTGGTTTTTTTGTGTTTTAAATATATATTTTCTATATTGAAGTTTATTTTATATTGAATTGATAATTAAAAAATCAATAAATAAAAAATCTATAAATTGAACTCAAAGTTGATATCATTATGGTTCTTCTCAAATATGTTACCATTTGATATTTGCTACCAAAGTTTAAAACTTTGTAAAGAAAAGCAAAAAAAAATTGGGATAACCCAATGGGTATTATTGGTAAGGTTATAAATTAATCAAAAAAAGAGAAACCTTGTAATAATATAGAAGGGAATAACATTTTGTATTGTAAATTGTTATAATGTTATTCTAATTTGGAGTAGAGCATAGTGGTAATTTTATTTTTTGTTTTAAGACAAGTATAATATAAGATAATCTATGAGTTTATTATTACCTTGACCTCCCTGGGTTTTCTCTTAGGGCTTGTTTGGTGGGGTAATTCCCAATTACTAAAGTAATATCATCATTTATTACTTTACAAGTAATATAAGATTTCAGTAATCTTTTAAAATAAATAGTAATTACTATTGGACTACTATTGGTAATATATAAGGTAATATCATTACTTCAATTTTCTTAAGTATTTTAAGATTACATAGTAATCTTATTTTTGTTATAATTTTATCCCTTCTTAATAATTTTTTTGAATAATAATGTCTTTATTTTGAAATTAATCTACATTAATCTGTCATTACAATTTTATCCCTATTTAATCAAGTTTTTTTGATAATAATACACTTATATTTAAAACAAATTGTAGGCTACCTAGGACCATCACTGTGGGCCAGCCACCATTGCTGGCCATCGCCGAAAATGACCGTCATGCGCTAATATGGACGTTTTTCGGATGGCCGAAAACGACAAGATGACCGTAGGCCAAAAATGGCTAGATCTATTCTGGCCGTCGTTAATAACCAGACAGACAAAACTTTAGTTGTTAACAATGGCCAGATATTTGGTCGTTAATGCCAAATCTACCCAGTCGTGTGCCGTTATAGCCACTTCCGACACTGTCAGCAATGGTGGCAGGCTGCCGACAGTGACTTGGGGTGGATGTGGGTGTTTTTGTTAAGTTTTAAACTTTTATTATTGTTGGGGTGTTTTAGCAATATCTCAAATGTAGGGGGTTAAATTTGTTTTCAAAAAATAATATTATATTAATATTTAAAAAGGAGGGTAATTTAGTAATTTTATAATATACCCACTCATTTATCCTCCCAACCAAACATATCAATATAACATACTCACCAATTTATTTAAATTTAACCAAACACATTTCCCTAAACATTCCCAGTAATCTTCAAGGCAATCTAATTTTTCGTTAATATAACATTTTCAATAATACAATATTCTTTGAACCAAACGCACCCTTAAATTTTGTTTAGTAGTTGGAGCCATAGAGGACGTGAAGGATAAATTCCTAAACTATAGAGATGACTGTTATATTTGGGTAGAAGATGAGGGTAGACCTGTGAAGTTGACTCTGCGGTATGTTATCATATTTTGTTAGTGGGAGAACGACATTTTCCCACCCAAGGTTTGGCAAAACGACAGTTTCTAACCCGTGAAGTTTCAAAATGACACTTTTCCACCTTTCGTCAGGTTTTGTTAGTGTTTGCTGTTAATATTTGACTGAAAAGACGAAAATACCCTTAAATAGTTTATTATAAATTAAAATTTAGTTAAGTTAAAATCTTTACTCAATTATTTATTAGTTCAAGTATAAAGATATCTTATTTTGTTTGTTTATTTAATTAATTAAGAATATTGATTTTCTATGTTAATTAGTAAAAATAAAAAACATTATATCTTGAAAAACATTATAAATTTAGTAGATTATTGAATAATAGTGGATGAGATATTGATGATATTATAAATAAATATTAAGGTTATTTAACTTTAAACAATTTTATAGCATTATTCATAATTTTTTAGGTAGGGTTAACTATTTTTTCTTTTTTGACTTTTTAGCTAATTAAAAAATAATAAAAAATTTACAAGGTTAAATATTTAAGGGTATTTTCAGTAAAATATTAACAGAAATCATAACAAAATCTAACAGAGGGTGGGAAAGTGTCGTTTGGCCAAACCTTGGGTGGGAACATGTCGTTGTCCCTTTGTTAGTTGTACAAAGGCTAGAGAGTAGACAGGAGGTGAGGAAGAAGTGAAAAAATGAACAACAGTAACAGAAAGAAGACGAATGATGAAGGTGGAATTGGAAGTGATGAAGTTGAACAACTACTTCAATCTGCTCAAGATGAGATGCTCCTAAAACTCTCTGTCAATTCTCACATCGCCCATATATCTTCCAATTACATCGACTCTGATCTCGACCGTCGCTTCCAAGCCCTCAAATCCCGACCCTCCCTTCATCAATCATCTTCATCTTCATCTTCATCTTCATCTTCACAATCCAATCATCGTGTTAATGATGTTAATGTCAACGTTGACAACGAATTGAAGAGCGTTCTGGGAGATGATCTATCTGCGAGATTCGCCGCTCTTAAAGCCTCCCCCTCCTCTTCTAATGATAATAAAAATCTCAATGCACTCTCTGTTGGTCCTAACGTATCGTATGACGATGATAACGATGAAGAGGATGAGGTTGAGAAATTGATTCGGTGGGCTAAGGATGCTGCTCGTCTCGATCCGTCTCCTCCGTCTGATGATGATAAGGATTCCGATTGTACAGATTCTGACGATGATGAGCCTCCTCGCCGGAAAAAGGACCACCGTAAATAGTACGCTATTTCTTTTTATATTTTTGTGTAATGTGATTATTAAAATTTTCCAAAATAGAATTATAAATTTACTACACTAAAAATTATCTTTATAAAACCAGTTATTTGAATAGTGTTCCAAGTGATATAATGTGTAGTCACTGTATGAAAATGTCCAAGAACAAGTGAGGATTTGTTGATGATGTAAATTATAATCAGAAACTAAAGTATCAATAATACATTGAAACAAAAGGTTCTTAAGAAAATAAAAGTAGTTAACTTTTCATTCTTTCATGTGTACTATTTATCTACATTTCAAACAATATTTTAAGGTCTTTTCCTGAATTGAATCTTTCTTCGCTGGAGAATGAGATTACTGCTTATTTACTTGTCAATTTTTGCAGGGAAATTCCTACTGTTGGAAATTATCATTGTCAACCTTTGCTGTTCACCTTTCAAGAGATGATGTGAGAGAGGGATGCTTTACTTTATATCTTCTTCTGCATATTTTGCTTACCAATGGTGTCACGCATTTTGTAAGATTCCTAGTCATTGAATTCTTTATACCCAAAATAGTAATCATTATAGACCATGTATTTGAAATTTCTGTATTCTCATAGGACTGCCTCTTCTAATGTGTGTTAAAGGAGACTTTCTTGTATGGTTGATATTTAGGCTACATAACGGAGAGGTATTTTATTATGTGGCAAAACACTAAGCAGGTATTGCAACGTCACTGCCTGTAATTATATGGGAATGCCTTGTGCCTAAAGATTTTTATGGTTTTTTTACTGGTTTTCTGGTGTAGGCTACTCTAAATCCTGGCCTATGAAAGGGAAAACAATAAGACCCAGCTATACTTCCTATTCCATGAGAAAAAACAAAAAAGCTTTCTCTTACTTATGGGCTATGGCCTTCACTCTGCGTCCAGTTACAAGCCCCCTTTCTCAGTGTTGTCTATCCCGCAATGGTATTCTCTGACACATGTAATTATAATTTATAATGCTTGCCTTAGTTCATCGTTAATCCAGTGGTGATTATCTTTGCCAGCGTATGGTGGTTCATTTTTTAATATATACTGCTTTTAGACAACAATTAATGAGTCGTATTTGTTCCAGGAACCATTTCAACAAACCCAATGCAGAAATTACCAAGACCATTCCCATCAATCAACATGAATTTGAGCCAAGATTTGCCCAAATTTTAATGGAAGATATTCGTTAAATATTCAAAAGGAAACAAACGCCAATAACAGTAGCTATAGATTTTTTACCGGCAAGCCAATCAAAGCCAAAAGTGGAGCCCATGGACTCAAAACTACCCCGCTTTGAACAATTAATGATGATCAATAACTTATATGGTACATGTATATCAACTAAAAAAACCAATAACTGAAAAGTAAAAGTATCTTTAACAAATTGCTCCCCAGTAAGTTAATATTCCAACTGCCCATCCATTTAAGGTTTAAATTCTGGAGACAGTCGGTATCTCCAAAATCTGCAACAAAGAAGAATAAATACCTAAATGACTGATCATATGTTGTAAATACACAATTTAGATAAACAAGCACAAGAACTTACCCTGTAAGGCATTTTGCAGAGTATCATCCTCAATGAAAGTTGTAAAAACTTCCATAACTATAATTCTATATTAAGTAGTACATTCTCACTAAAAAAGAATTTGAATTCTATTCTTGTTTTCTCAGTATCCTGCAAGAATTATGGCGAAAAATAAGTCAATAATTTAGGAAGAAGACAATACCAAATAAAGATGCCAAACCAATAGAATGGCTAGTTTTACCTAGCATGAAATTAACGGAACTCGTCATGGTAGTCAAAATCGTCTTCCTCCTCATCACTGAAAATAGCACTGTAAAATACATAAGGGTTCTCAATCATCTCTATCAGGGTTAGACGACCATCTTTATCTGTATCTGCCTGCAATAAAATTTACAAACTATTTAGTACCTGATCTTCTCAACTTACTGTTAAATCAAAGTAGCAGATCTGGTTTTGAATATAACTCATGCAATAATTGTCAAGGTCTATCTATAAATACAAGTGGAGAAGGTCACATTTTCAACTTGCAATATAGACTTTTTTTAGTATTTTGCTGGTCATGCAATTCTTCTATCCTTCCCTTTTTTTATTAATGATATTTGATATATGCAAAAGGTCATAACATTTCAGTAACGCAGTGGCAAAGGGCTATTCAATCCACAAGATCCAGTATTGCACAAGGGACATTGAATAACCCAAATGTAGTGTCCATCATTTCTACAAAGAATGCTGGTAGTCCAACACTTCTACAACAAAAGATATCCTTAATTTAATAAACTAAACAAAGGAAGAGGTACTAAAGATAACAGAGAAAGTAAATGCATACAGAAATTTTAAAAGTAATATAAAAACCAATGCATAACAAGAGTGGTCAAAACTAAACACGTACTCTAATATCTCTTGACATCAAGAAAACCCTCAGGTCAAAGCTCCGGAGCATAATTAGTAGTTTCCAAACACAAAATTGGATAGGAGGCTATAGAGGATAAAAAAAAGCCTAAAACAACCGCATAAGATAGATGGTACATTACATATACTGCCACAACAAAATCCCACCTAAGTAGAAAGCTCTGCAAGATAAGCTATTTACAGACATGACAGGATCTGGAGAAGACAATAAAGGATGGGAAAAATTCAACAAAACCACAATGGAAACAAAACCACTGATTTCCATTGTCACAAAAATTCTGAGGGATGGAATTACCATAACTTAGTGATATAGGACTTTAAAGACAGAAAGAACACATTAAATGAGGGAAGATCTAAACTGGATAGATACCAACAGAAAGGCATTAATTCTAATGCAATACCAACATCCGTCAAATTCCATACTAAATCATTAATTTGTTGAAAGCATCAACACAACCCTTGAGCATCTACCTTCCAATACCAACATAGCTAGAGAAATGAAAGATACTAAAATTAGAATAAGTATATGATAGGAACCCACTCTAATAACTCAATAATTTGGGCTGGGCTATGGGTCTTTCATGGGCTTGGGTAGAACTCTCCTTGGAAAACCGGCTTGCCAAGGGAGGGTGCCCAAGCCTTTATAACCCACATGCCCACCTTTTTCCCTTTCAATGTGGGATCCCAACATTCCACCACGCTTCCGCAACCGACGTCCACGTCGGCCTCTTTACCCCCGTCGGCCTCTTTACCCTTTGGGGACTAGCGGATACCCTTTTCCTTCGGGCCTCCATGCCCTTTCTCGGGGTAGCAGCCCGGGCCCAAGGTCCGCCTGCCACGGGTCAGCCTGCCACGCGTGCGCGCCACATAGACAGGATCATGCTCTGATACCAATTGATAGGAACCCACTCCAATAACTCAACAATTTGGGCTGGGCCATGGGTCTTTCAGGGCTTGGGTAGAACTCTCCTTGGAAAACCGGCTTGCCAAGGAGGGTGCCAAGCCTTATAACCCACATGCCCACCTTTTTCCCTTTCAATGTGGGATCCCAACAGTATACTTCATAAATGGTCCTTCCTTTTGTTTCTTATCAGACTGAATGTTCCAAGTGGCAGCAAGAATGGCATAAAACAGCATTCCTCTGGCACGAATAAAGCCAGAAAAGAAATGACCTACTACCTAAGCCATAAGAATTGAGCCTGAGCAGCAACAAGTAAAATCTCCATCTAACAAACAGAGGTTAACTTTTCCAAAATCAACTTCACATTGAGGCCTCAACGCAAAGGGTCTTTGATTGACCAAACAATCAGGGTAATAAAATTTAGGGGCAACTGAGCTTTTAGAACCAAAATAATATGTGTGTGTGTGTCACAACAAGAACTTGGGTCCAATTTTATGAATCAGTGAATAATCTAATACAATATTGACAGCCAGAATAATTGAGAAAAAAAAAAAAAAAACACAATTCTTTGATGAACCAAATTATAGTTTCAATAGAATAAGAAGGATGACACTGAAAAGTCAGACATAAATACCTGTGATATGATGTAATCTGCTTGTTGTTTTGCATAGTATCGCTCTGATGGATGAAGTTTTCCAATAATTGGAAGTAGTTCTACATCTGACAAATATCTGTAAAGCAGAAAGCCAAGTTATTTTGACAATACAACAGGATAACTTCTGCAATCAAGAAGGAAGTAGTAACATATCATAAGTTTTCATCAGTAGATTCAGTACCCGTCACCATCTTTGTCAAGCTGAGAAAACAGCTGTCTAGCTGGGGCATCCATTGAGTCATCAGATGGATCAGAAGAATTATGAACTTCATCATCATAGTTCCTTACCAAGTCAAAGAGCCCATGGAAAAATTCTTTAAAATTAACTTTCCCATCTTTGTCTGAATCTCTTTCCCTATATAAGTAAAGAGCCAAATGAACAGTTAAGCCAGGAATGATCGTGACAACAAGATTTAACAAAATTTGAAATGAAAACATATGGTAGACACATTAAAGTAGATAGCAACTAGTAAACAAAAGTGCAATACTGATCCGTAGGGTGTGATTTTGACTAAACTTACATGCACTAGAATATAAGCATGTACAAGCAGAAAATACACTATATAGAAATCTAAGAAACTATTTAAGCCTATATTGGAAAATATTATCTAGAAACTGAGGCAAGAATTTCTGTTCAAACATTTCCTAATAAATGAGACCAAGATACATGTAAGCCATGATAAAACTGAGTCAAGATGAATTTCCTGTTCAAACAAAAATATTACCGAATCACAGCAGTAAACAATATTCCGTTAATTATATATTGAAAAGGTTTTCAAAATATTCAAGCCTAAAATCCTACATAGAAATGGGAATACATCAATAAAAAATTAACACACAACCGTGACAGCTATTGATGTGGGAAGAATAGAATAGGTTTAAGTTTAATTTTAATTTTAGTCTTTGTTTTAATCATCTTAGGGATTGGTTTGTCAATAGTAATTTTAGTATTTTATTTCGTTCGTGATTACATTCCCAATGTTGTTCAGAAAATTAGTCAGAAGTGTAGATCTGAAAAGAAAATTGAATACGGTAAATTCTATAAGCCGGTGCCATGATCTCTTCCAATGAAAAAACCGCTTTATAATAATTACAAGTAAAACACAAAAGACAATAGGAACTTGTTTTAAGTTGCAACACCAGAAAAGAAATTAGAAAAAACTAGTAGTATAAACAGAATCAGAATGAACTTAACAAATACACATAAGGCAGGACAAATAAACATAAGGCAGGACAAATAAATCAGGAGAAGGGAATCTCATGAATATGTCACCTTACTTCTTCCTTGCACAACCACAATATCAGCTTTGGATTTTTGCTATCAGCTGGGTGTAGAAAACTACAAAACCATAAATCACAGGAAAAATCCTGATCAATTAAATGAATCTAAGAAGAAAGCTTCTTTTTTTTTTTTTTCTTTTTTTTTTTTTTTCTTTTTGGGTGTCTCCTACTAATTAGATTAGCTAGTCAAGTTCAAGCTCACTCATTAAACTCGGTTATATTCAAAAGACCATCTCCATCTGCATCCGACGCATTAAAATGTTCCTCTTTCCACCAACCCATATCATAGCCGAAAGAGCTATTATCTGATAAATTAAAAAGTAAGAAAAATAAAATTAGCAACCAGGCATACTCACATGAAAAAAGATCATGGGTCCAATGAATTAACACAAGATATGGATCATAAAAAAAAATAGTGGTGAGAAGGCTCCATTTAGATGCCAGTATGTGGGAGCAGCTTAGTATGGCCAGCTGAGAACTAAACATAACCATATGGTATCCAACACTCAAACAAAAATTTACATAAGTCAATTGAATTTAATGAAGCAAAGCTCTCAAATTTGGGTCACTAATTACAATGCCAACTTCTGGCAAAACAAAGTAGGGTTCTTGAATTGAATATTAAGAGGACTATCAGTTGTGCAAAGGGAACGGCTTAGTATAGCCAGCTGAGAACTAAACATAACCAGATGTATGCAACACTCAAACAAAACTTTCCATAATCAATTGAATATAATGAAGCAAAGCTCTCAAATTTGGGTCAAGGAATACAATGTCAAAGGCTGGCAAAACCAAGTAGGCAATTTGAATTGAATATTAAGATTCCTATCAGTGGTACACAGCAGATTTGCGCTTTCCACACTTTAGACCTTCAGAAGTTCCCCAACAGTAGTTCTTCTACATAGCTATATCATGTTCCCCTTGACGCTCCTCACATCGAGCGAACAATGTGACTTTGTGACCTTTGCGTAGCATAGTAGAATGAAGATTATGCACCAACACATTCTTATACGTTAGCCTTACTAACTAGCTCAACCACTCAAATATGACTAACATACAATCATCCACCATCAGCATACAACAATATTTACCTGCATTACGAACCCAACTGGGAGGCTCGTACTCTGCGAAGGACACAAGTCCATCCCGATTTTTATCATGAGTCTCCAACTCTCTCTGAGTCCTGTGCATCACGTCCCTCTCAGCCTGCTGCATGTTCCAGTCAGTCAACTCACTCTCGCTAATATACCCATCAGGTGGCTGCACATCAATCTTTGGAAACAATAGCACCAACCTATTCATCACAAATAGCATCTATTCAATCAATTTGTATAAAGGAGTTCAACAAATTCTAACAAAATATAATAAATTAATAATCTCAATCAAACTAACATCTACATAAGATCTTTCTTTCAATCAACGCAAAGAAATTAAACAAATAAAACGGTGTCGTTTCTGTATCAAAAATGTACCTATTGGTAACATTGAACTTCTCCTCGTCGTTCAAGTAATCTTCAGCATTCATAAAATCCTCCCACTCGGGCTGACTCTCATGGCCCGGGGCAGGCTCGTGTTCGTGGCTCACAAGCTCAGGATGCGCGTGTTCCATATACTGTTTCTCCCAGTGCCTGTCCTCGCGAATACGCTCAATGTCGGCGACGAGCGGGTCGAAGGGGACCGGCTCGTGACGTGTAGAGTTGAAATGGAAAGAAGAGCGAAGTTTAAGCCTCCGGTGGCGGTGGTTCTGCACCTTCTTGGGCGATTGCGAAAGAAATAAAAGAAGAAGCAGAGCTATGGTTATGTAAATGATTACTGAAACTTTACCCATACTAAGATTCGCCGAAACAAGGAATTGAAAGTATGTTGGATGAAGTGTTTTGATTATTTGTTGTGAGAGATCTGGAGAAGAAAGATGGAGTTGACAAATTGGACTTGTGATTAAAGCAAGGTAGAAGTGAANTTTTTGGGTGTCTCCTACTAATTAGATTAGCTAGTCAAGTTCAAGCTCACTCATTAAACTCGGTTATATTCAAAAGACCATCTCCATCTGCATCCGACGCATTAAAATGTTCCTCTTTCCACCAACCCATATCATAGCCGAAAGAGCTATTATCTGATAAATTAAAAAGTAAGAAAAATAAAATTAGCAACCAGCCATACTCACATGAAAAAAGATCATGGGTCCAATGAATTAACACAAGATATGGATCATAAAAAAAAATAGTGGTGAGAAGGCTCCATTTAGATGCCAGTATGTGGGAGCAGCTTAGTATGGCCAGCTGAGAACTAAACATAACCATATGGTATCCAACACTCAAACAAAAATTTACATAAGTCAATTGAATTTAATGAAGCAAAGCTCTCAAATTTGGGTCACTAATTACAATGCCAACTTCTGGCAAAACAAAGTAGGGTTCTTGAATTGAATATTAAGAGGACTATCAGTTGTGCAAAGGGAACGGCTTAGTATAGCCAGCTGAGAACTAAACATAACCAGATGTATGCAACACTCAAACAAAACTTTCCATAATCAATTGAATATAATGAAGCAAAGCTCTCAAATTTGGGTCAAGGAATACAATGTCAAAGGCTGGCAAAACCAAGTAGGCAATTTGAATTGAATATTAAGATTCCTATCAGTGGTACACAGCAGATTTGCGCTTTCCACACTTTAGACCTTCAGAAGTTCCCCAACAGTAGTTCTTCTACATAGCTATATCATGTTCCCCTTGACGCTCCTCACATCGAGCGAACAATGTGACTTTGTGACCTTTGCGTAGCATAGTAGAATGAAGATTATGCACCAACACATTCTTATACGTTAGCCTTACTAACTAGCTCAACCACTCAAATATGACTAACATACAATCATCCACCATCAGCATACAACAATATTTACCTGCATTACGAACCCAACTGGGAGGCTCGTACTCTGCGAAGGACACAAGTCCATCCCGATTTTTATCATGAGTCTCCAACTCTCTCTGAGTCCTGTGCATCACGTCCCTCTCAGCCTGCTGCATGTTCCAGTCAGTCAACTCACTCTCGCTAATATACCCATCAGGTGGCTGCACATCAATCTTTGGAAACAATAGCACCAACCTATTCATCACAAATAGCATCTATTCAATCAATTTGTATAAAGGAGTTCAACAAATTCTAACAAAATATAATAAATTAATAATCTCAATCAAACTAACATCTACATAAGATCTTTCTTTCAATCAACGCAAAGAAATTAAACAAATAAAACGGTGTCGTTTCTGTATCAAAAATGTACCTATTGGTAACATTGAACTTCTCCTCGTCGTTCAAGTAATCTTCAGCATTCATAAAATCCTCCCACTCGGGCTGACTCTCATGGCCCGGGGCAGGCTCGTGTTCGTGGCTCACAAGCTCAGGATGCGCGTGTTCCATATACTGTTTCTCCCAGTGCCTGTCCTCGCGAATACGCTCAATGTCGGCGACGAGCGGGTCGAAGGGGACCGGCTCGTGACGTGTAGAGTTGAAATGGAAAGAAGAACGAAGTTTAAGCCTCCGGTGGCGGTGGTTCTGCGCCTTCTTGGGTGATTGCGAAAGAAATAAAAGAAGAAGCAGAGCTATGGTTATGTAAATGATTACTGAAACTTTACCCATACTAAGATTCGCCGAAACAAGGAATTGAAAGTATGTTGGATGAAGTGTTTTGATTATTTGTTGTGAGAGATCTGGAGAAGAAAGATGGAGTTGACAAATTGGACTTGTGATTAAAGCAAGGTAGAAGTTAATAATATTCAATACTGAAAAGGAATAGGAATGTGTGAACGTGATCGTGATGATGGATGGGCTTTCATAACAGTAGTAGATCTGTTGGGTAATCATCTCGACCGTTTATTTTTACCCAAGTAGCTTTGAGTAAAAATTAACGTAATTATGACTTGAATTAGAGTTAACTTTACAATTATCTTGGGAAATTTTTTTTTTTTTTTTTTGAATGGCAGTGTTCGAACTTGGAGCCAATCACATTCATCTTAACTAATCTTTTAGGACATAAAATTATAGAAGAATAATTTTTTTCCACTCAAGGTTTAACGAAACTGATACTTTCTCATCCATCAAGTTTCAAAATGATACTTTTCCACCATTTGTTAAGTTCTGTTAGTGTTTTATGTTAATATTTAACTGAAAAGGTGAAAATAACCTTAAATAGTTTATTTTTTAATTAATTTATTATAAATTAAAATTTAGTTAAGTTAAAGTCTTTATTAATCCTAATGTAAAGATACATTTTTTTCTTTATTTATTTAATTAATTTGGAATATGGATTTTCCATGTTAATTAGTAAAAATAAAAAACACTATAAATTTAATAGATTATTAAATAATAGTAATGGGATATTGATGACATTATTAAAGTCATTTAACTTTAAACAATTTCATAGTATTATTCCAAACTTTTTAGGTGGGGTTAATTATTTTTTCTTTTTTGAATTTTTAATATTTGACTTTTTGGCTAATTAAAAAATAATGAAAAGTTTGTAAAGTAAAATATTTAAGGGTATTTTCATCTTTTTAATAAAATATGAACAAAAAACATAACAGAATCTAACGATGGGTGGGAATGTGTCATTTTGAAACTTGATGGATGGAAAAGTATCATTTCGCCAAACCTTGGATGGGAAAATGTCGTTCTCCCTAAAATTATTGGCTGAATACGAGCCTCAGTGGTCATCTTTATTAACAAGAATGTATTTGAGATCTCGTTGAGTTTTATTCATAAGGCTGCAATGAGATTTTTATCCAATTTGGGTTATGAAATTTCAGTTTATGGGATTATAAAGGAACATATTATTTGTCTGCTTAAGAAAGGAAAGAATTTCCCTTCAACCTATGAATTATGTAATGGGTACATTGTACATGAATTTAACCCTTTCACTAATCTAACATAAATTTTTAAGGTACAAATTTTCTTTTACTTTCTCAATAAATAAACAACGTCAAACTCACATATCAAATTCTTTGAATCATTTACTCTAAAACATCATAACATTAACTGCGTACCCAAACCTAACTGCACAAATATGCTTCATGTGATGCTTCCATGCTCCATGTGATGTCTTGGTCTTGGATAATAGAGGCTTTTACATGGATACCTCAGGTTTAGTAAGAGTGTGAGACAACAAAACACGGATTTTAGAAATAACACTTACACCCTTGTAGTTTTATAATGGAACACTTACGTCCTTATAATTAACAAGAACTTTGTAAAAAGTTATTGGAACACAAAATCTTGTAGAATGACTAATATATCCTTATTTTATCTTTTCTTCTTAAAAAAAAAGTTAATATATGATATTTTTCATATGATCAAATTATTAAATATATTAAATGATTTTTAAATATTTAATTTTGACACTTTGATTAGACATTTGTGAAATAAAAAAACTTGTTTTTTCATTATATCGTATATTCTATTCTTATGATAGTTGTTGATGGTTGCTTTTAGGCGAACGTTAACCAATGATTTGGACTCCGACATTGGGGTGTCCGAATCCATGTCTTTGAGTGTGGATCTCACTTGGTCGGTGACTTTGAGTGCTTGATCGATCAATCAGTGAGAGAATGTATTTGGTTAAGTCATTGTTCGAGTTTAGGCTCCTAATTAATGGTCTAATTATGAATTTATGATCAACTCTAACGTTAGTTTAAGCTAAGGTAAATCCAATGAGTGACCCTCTTCATCGTTTGCAAAATAAGTCACGGTCAAAGGCCCTTTGTTGGCGTAGACTCTCTAATACTCAAGTTAGAATCTAGTGTACCGAAAAGTCTAGAAAGAAGTTCTTAATAATCAATTAAAGGGAGAGAAAGAGCAAGTGAATAGTGAATTGAAAGTTTAGAGTTGAACTCTCTCCCTAACTCATATATCGAGGCATTATTTATAACAGTGGTGGGTAAGTGGTCCTAATGTCACGACTAGCTTGCTTGCCGACTCAAGCATGTTGCACGTTGCTTACTGATTAAGTATACTTTAGGGTGAAGCAAACTTAAGGGCTAAGTTAACTTCATAGCTAAGTTAATGACTCAGCAGCTAGGTTAATGACTAACCACATTTGTTTCCAAGGTTGCACCAATGCTTGCCACTTAGGGTTTCTTAATGCTTAAGCATGTAGATTAGTCACATTACTCTGAGGAGCTTGAGCCTATAAATAGGCAACTCCACCATGTAAAGTTTCATAAACTTGAATTCCATCAATACAAAATTTATATTTTCTCTACACTTCTCTTTCATTTGTATACTTTTAGCATGTGAGTTTGTGTGAGCGTTAGGCTGCTTAACTCATTTCCGAAGAGTTAAAGCCGCACGAACTTAGCAAAGAAGTTAAGTGCGTGACACTAAGGTGACAACCCTTGAAGTAAAACCACGTGTCGTCAATTTATTGGAGTATTGTCCTCGTAAGATGAGATTTTATAGTTGTTGCATACTCATTTCCACTTTATTGTCGTGGGGGATGAGGAGAACTACTTATTGGCCATGAGCTCTTGGAAGATAAGGATTAGCCGTTAGCAATGAGCTTTTGGATGATGAGTATTAGCCCTAGAGCGATAAGCTCTTAGGAGACGAGCTCTTAGGCAATCAAGAGAGCTAGCCATGAGCTCTTAGGAGATAAACCCTTGAACAACGAGGAGAGCTAGCCATGAACTCTTAGGAGATGAGGGTGACAAGGAGAGTTGCAAATTCATTACCCTTTAGGCAACTAGATTTTGGACGACGAGTCCTTAGGTGATGAGGTTTTAGTCATCTCACCTTGCTATTCTCAGCTTCACTGTGTTATAAAATAACCAACTATTATATTAGTAACAGCAGATAATAAACCTATTGAATATAAAAATAATAAAATTAAATATCAATAAAAATAAAATGACAATACATACAATAAAATTAACAATACCAACAACGTAATTACATGTAAAAGATCCTTCAAAATGACAGGAAGAGATCCGATAATGAATACAATCTTAGGATGAATGCTGAGACCTATGCAACACATAGTGCTTAAAACAGATTCGCCTCCTTCACTCGGGTGCACAAGAATTTGAATAGTATCTGTTTTTTATGATACAATGACAGATGAATAGTAAGAAAAACACCACTCTTCTATTCTAACAAACTGAACAAAGCTTTAACTCTAACAAAGAAAAACCTTAAAAAACTAGAGAGAAAATGAAAGATTAAAATTTTGGTGTGTTTGAAATAAGAGGAATAGTACTTTGTTATACTACTCAAGGTGAGACAAAACATTGAATTCCACCGTTATTTTTCACCTTTTCACTTTCGATTTTTAAAACCTCTTCTATTAACCTACTAACCTTTCATCTTTCAAATTCTCAACTTACACCATCATACCTCATTTCATTCAATTTAATAATAAATTCTGATACATTTTTCTTTATGATATCAAACATTTATTCAAGGATGATTACTATTTCGACGATAAGACCTTCACTTTGGATGCGTTGCAACATTTTATTCGACAATGTGTATAGCTTAATTTTATCCATAACAAACACCGTTTAATTATAAGAGAGTAAGTACTACACTTTGAAACCTGCGAGTCTCCTTGTTTCTCACTCTCTCACTAATTTTTGGTTTTAGCTTTATTCTTCTCTTTGTAGGCTTTTAAATAAAGCCCATTTAATACTTCTATTGGGCTTTTATAGAAAACTCCACTATCAAACACCAAAGTATCTTTTTTTTTGTTTTTTAAGTAATATTATATTTATATCATTTTTTTACACAATTTTGTAAATATTATGATGTGATATATGCTATAACCATAAAAATTATATTATAGTATTAAAAATTTATATAGTTATATTATATATCATATCATGATGAAATAAAAATTATGTAAAAGAGTGATGTAAGTGTAGCATTTTTTTTTTTTTTAAATCAAACATGAACATAAGGATGAAGGAATATGGTATTTGTGATTTAAATTTTACGTGTAAAAATTGGAAGAAGTAGAAAAGTAGTCTACAACTCTACATTATTACAAATTCTTTAAACTTATCCGAAAGTGACAATAAAATCTAACAACTATTCAAACAAATCATACAAGGAGTGGGGACAATTATGATTTTATCAATGGAAAATTGTCAGAATCCCATGGCCCCCACCTTGACTCACCAACTTGTGAACCTTGACACTTTTCCTTACGTGTCTACAAATCACTGGTGCGATTCAAGGTAATAGCCCATCAACGCAATGAATCTAGAGTCTAGACTTGTTTCCATTACTGTTTAACAATAAATATAAATGGTATTTTTATTTTTTATTATCTATAATTTATAATCCTCATTGGGAGATGGGATTGGTTGTCCCCAATCTCAAAAGAACATCATAATTATCACATTTTAAACTGCAAAAACATGTGATTCTCAAGCAAACTTTCATGGATTTAGGATAAGCAAAAGTGACGGATTCAGATAATGGATTGATTTGATAATCTTTATAAGACAAGATATTTAGAGATTTAGAAATTATTATGATTGGTGATGAGGGTACTTGTATCGTAAGGGTAAAACTAACTTAGAGATCACGTGAATTGACAATAATTTAAAGATTTATAATCCAGTCCACAGTGAATCCAAAACAAGCGTCACCAAAGGAGAGGACATGTACATAAAATATGCCCATAAAAGCTCTGACCTTTATTACATTTGTTTTCTACTCAATTTCTTTTTGTGTAGAAAATGGAAAGATAAAAAAGTTTTGGTCTTGTTTGGTCTCTCTTCAGAGGAAAGTGAAAGGTAAAGTTGCAAATTATTAACTTGCAACTCATTTGTAAAATATTTTAATATTAATAATTTATTCTCTGCAACTGTTCATCGTTATCTCATCTACTAACTAATTTAATGTTGTTTTTGTTTGTTTGTTTGTTTGTTCTCGACAGAAGGAGAAAAAGTACAGTGATGAAAACCCGTTTTGAGTTTCTACCTCCATCTGGAAAACGAGAAAGAAGGTGGTGTATTATTATTATCTTTTTTTTCTTGTTGATTTCTCTATCTAAACGTTGTTTTCTTTGTCAGATATTTAATGGGTATTGCAGATTCCAGTGTATGAGTGAGCAAGTTGTTGGCTTTGCGAGTGAACCTTTTTCAATCCCAGCTGTCTCTATTTGTAGCAAGTAGTTGTTGGGAGATAGGACCAATTGACCCATTTCATAACCTCTTTGTGATATTTCATCATAACCCATCAACATCAACTACAATTTCTATGTCTACCCTTGTAAATTTTCAACTTTTGAAGGCTATCTGTTTAACTCATTTTTTGTTTGCTTTCAAGGGTTTTTCTTATTTCTTGGTTTTTTCTTGTTTCTGGATGCTCCCAATTTTTGTTCTTATTTAGGCCTAGTTTCACTTTGTTTTTTATTTTTTCTTTTAACATTTGGGTATTTGTGTATATATGTAAAGTTGCAGTAAAACAATAAAGATGAAGATTTCTGACTGGAATTAAACTTTTTATATATTTGTTTTTAAATTTACAGAGATACAAGGGATAGATGTTGGAGTTGGATTTTGCAGAGTAAGGTTTGGGTTTTCACATTCCTGTTTGAAAGAAAAGTTTTTTTTTCTTTTTTTTTTTAGTGTTGGTTTGTGTGTCAGAATCTCGATAGTGCTAGTGCTTTGAGTTGTTGGTAGTAATCTTTCATTTGGAGGCATTTTGTACTGTTATTCTAATAACTATTTGAGGTTTTGAATAGTTTAAAAAAAAAAAAAAAAAAGGTAATTTCAGGAGTGTAGAGCAATTCCATCTATCAGAAGTTAAAAAATAAAGTAATTACTGGGTGGGTATTTTCAATCTGTGGTTCAAACCCAGGTACTAAATAGTGGGTTTTATTGTTATGTTTGTTTTCGGCTAACAAAAGATGGTTACCTTTTCGAAATGTGATTTTCTAAATTTGGTTAGAATCCAAAATTTCTAGTGCTGGTTTTGAATCCATGGTTTTTGATATTAACAATTTTTTTTTTTTTTTTAATTTGGAAATTGATGATGTCAATAATATTGGCTCTTTACCAACCTCTCACTTTTTTTCCAATTCACATTTTTTTCTTGGATTGGTTTTTGATATTTGATTTGAATTTTTGTTTAATTTGGATTTCAGGATATGAAATTAGCTCTGTTATTGAGATCATGTATTTTTGGATTGAAAGGGTGAATTTTATATGGTTTTTGGTCTCATTGATTGAGAAGTGCATATGTTATTAATGTTGACTCTACTGTCTGTTTAATTGGCAGAAGAAAACAAAGAATGCGGGGTACTGGAGAGAGTGCTGTAAAATTTTGAGCTTTAAAAGCAGTGAGGGTTATAATAGGTTATATTTCTGTGGGCCTACACTGTTAAAACTGTTCTTGTCAAGTAGAGCTTTTGGTTAATTGGGTTTTTGTAGGAGGTGGAGATGAAAATTTGAATACTCTTTATTATCCATTATAAAGTTCTAGGTTTTTCTTCTGTGTTTGGTTTCTCCATTGTATCTTTCATGTCTTTCACTATCCAAACCTTAATTACAGTACTGTAGAAATCACGGTTGCCCTTATTTTTGTACTGTTTAAACTTCCGTTTACTGCATCTATGATTTTATGGCTTTCAGATATTTCTTATGGTCTAACTGAACTTTGTTGCCTTTTCATTCATCAATAGGTCAGCTATTCACAAGAGTCCAATTTTTGAATTGTGGAGCAAATCACCATTGAATTCTTCACATACTCCACCGGTGTGTTTTGATTTTTATTGGAGGTGATCTCTGGTTCAGCTTTCTTGGCCTTTTCTTGGGTTTCCTTGTCTCTCTTCTTGCTAGCTCTATACCTTGAAACTTCTTGCTTCCCGTCAAATTTGACTTTTTAAGTCGGCTATCAATCTAGTTGTTAGTGATATCCGCTACTGAAATAATTTCGATCTGTTTCTCAATACCGAAATTCAATGTTTTAGATGGGTTATAAACTAGCCTAAATTTTAGAGAAGGTTGGTAGTTGTTCTTTGGTTTTCCTTGTGGGTTGTATTTTGGGTAGTGGATTCAAACTAGTCTAGATGACTGTGGATGAAGTGGGCAGTAGCTCTGTATGGACTAGAGAGCAGGATAAGGCATTTGAGAATGCTCTTGCAACTTATCCTGAAGATGCTTCTGATCGATGGGAGAAAATTGTAGCTGATATACCTGGGAAAACTCTAGAAGAGATTAAACATCACTATGAGCTTTTAGTAGATGATGTTAACCGCATTGAATCCGGTTGTGTTCCTCTGCCTAGCTATAATTCATCTTCTGATGGATCTACAGGCAACGGTGGTGATGAAGGAAGTGGGAAGAAAGGTGGCCACTATGGGCATTATAATAATGAGTCCAACCATGGAAGTAAATCTTCAAGGTCAGATCAGGAACGCCGTAAAGGGATTGCTTGGACAGAGGATGAGCACAGGTTAATTTTTATTGTTGATTAATTATTTTCTTCCTCTGCATAAATTCATAGATTGGACCTGCAAAGTATTTTATTATGACGGAGATTGGTTTCTGTGGGTTACTTCTGTGTTTAGCATCATTCGTACCGCTGCAAATATTAGTATCAATTGAGATTTAGTTTTTATCTGACTGTCTGGAATCTTTACCCTGACACTGCTGTAGAGTCCTTACCTTGCTTCTATGGTCTTGATTTTGAGAAGTTACCATTTACTGAAGATAATGTTCTCAGGTAGTTATTGCTAATTAAGATTTAGCAAGCTTTGGCTTTCTGAATAGCTTCCTTGTCTATTTGGTTCCTGCTATATACTCTATAGTAATTAGTAAGCGAACACAGTTTATCAGGAAATCGTAAAATAGGAATCTTGATGATAAATATGTGGAAGAGAAATCTTATTTCACATGTTGCTGGAATTTTATTGCCTATGTACTATTAAGTTTTTCTTGGATAATCTATTTAACATGTGCTCTGCTCGAGGTTTCTTTTCAAAAAGAGAGGAAGGAAAAAAAAAAAAAAATGATGAAAAAAAATTAAAATATCAACTTGGATTTTAAGGGGCAATAATGATGTTATCATGCTAATAGACTCTGATGTGGGGTTCGGTTCACTTTAGAAGTTTCACATTATTGATATGTTTCTTTTTGAATTTCTAAGAGTTTCTTCTCATGATTATCTTTTAACTATTGTAGTTAAAGAATAGGATGTGAAACATTTTCTATAAGAAACGGAGAGAACTGAAGTATAAATAACTAAAGAAAATATTAAGATTTTTTGGGTGAATACTGAGTTTTACATGTGCTTGTATTGACTAGAGATTGGGAACTTGATAGCTTTAAATTTTGGGCTGGAGTACGATGAATTGAATAAGGACTACCTATCAATAAATAACATTGACCCATGTAAAATGAACTTTGGGGTGACATAATTCAGTTTGTTTCAGCAGAGGCACATAGATTGAATTTTATAGTTAATTCACTTGATGGGTAAGGATCATAAAGCTCCGAGCATGGTTCTGGAAATTCAAGAACAATGGATTAGGTATTATTTTGTATGGGCTTATCCTTTTGAGCTAAAGGATTAGATATTATCCTTTGCTTCTTTGTAATAGTTACCTTTTTGCTTCTTTGTAATAGTTACCTTTATTATAGGCACCTTGTTGTTTTCTGCTGTAATTTTTTTTTCTTTTGCTTCTTGGATGCTGTTCCTAATGTTCGTTTGCGGAAATCTTCTGGCAATTTCTTGTATCACTTATATGACATTTGTTGATTAGGCAATCATCATTTCCCTGCCGTGTGTTTGTATACCAAGTATTCACATGATATTTCTAATGAACTATCTCACTGTTTTACCATCTTAAAGCAACTGAACTACGGCCTTAAATTGTGTTGTAACAAATTGGCTAGGATATGTCAGAGTCAACATCTAATAGGAAATATTTTTTTGCATAAAACCAGGGTACAAGCTGCATTAGTATAAGTTAGTGATCTTAATGGTAATGTTCCTTTTCACTGGTGTTCATATTCTCGGCTGTAAGGAGTCTTTATTATAGAAAGGAAAGTATGAGACTGAATCAAACACATGTACCACCCTGATATTGCCATAGCATAAGGTGTTTGGAAATGGTGAAATTAGTTGGATAAGAGGACCATGACAACCATGACAACCATAACCCTTGGTAAAGTGATTTTATTCTTTTGATCTATGATCATAATTCCCCAATGTGCTAATGTTTTGTGCTGATATGAAGTGGGAAGCATTCTTAATAACCATTCTAGATTAATATATATTTTTATGATGGACCAATGAAAACAATGATAGATGGTGAAAGTCTGCACCTTGATTGTGCCAAATGAGGATTCCTTAAACTGATAGTCAATTTAGCTCAGCATTTTAGATTTATCTACTTTGTGGGGGACATTTTTCTTAGATTACATGGTGGAACCCATAGTGAAGGTTTTGCTGTAAGTTGTGAATCAATAATCATTGTTGGAAGATTTTAGCCTCTCTAGTTTGCAAAAGGCAATTGTGAATTATTTGAGCCATTGAAAAAAACACACATGGAAGTAAGACAACTTATTCAATGTTATAATTAAAGCCACGTATTCTATGTTATAACCGAATCAATTGAATGCGAGGATTTAAATGCAGAACTTTTTGCTTCATCTAGCTATACCATGTTGAGTAACCAACTTAAGCTAATAGCCATGTATCTTTTACATCAATCAGTTATTTTCTCAGAGCTGTAGTAGTATATTTTCTTTTATATAATTTCTCTTCTTGTGGGACGTAATATGTTATACCATTGACAAAAATTACGAAGATAGTGAAATGAAAATTTTTATCCTTTCAGTAGTACCCTTGTGGTTGGAATCTTGAATAATATTTTCCTTTTCATTAATCAGTTATTTATTGATGTTTAACACTTGTTGTCATTTAGTAGTTCAACTCATGTTTGATTTGAAGAATATTAGTAGTGGTTATATATAAATATATAAACACCTTCAGAAAGATTTTGTTGATAAGTTGCCTAAATTTTCTCTAATAAAAAAAGTAACCTAAATGTTTCAGTTAGGTTTCCTAGTCAGATTTAATTAATCTGATTTTGAGTTCCATTCTTGAAAAGAGTAAATTACTTGAGGAGAAAAGGTCTTGGGACTCTTAGTCAGCCTTTATACAGTTAGGCCTCCAATCTTGGATGGTATTGATGAAATACTCCTATTGAACAACTTTAGCAGTTGCCTTATGGAATGAATAATGCTAAACCATGGTAAACTTTACATAATAAATTGATGAACACAGCAGCAAATTTGTACTCTAGAAACATTAAGGGATTGCATCATGGCTAGTACTGCACAGAAAGTTTGACAACAAAATAATCTTGTATGCAGAGGTGCAATAATTTCATGTGGGAATGTGAGGAAAGAATATTAGCTGCTATCTGCTATTGGAGTTAGTAGAAAGGATGAGAAGTGCATATTTTCGATGAAGAGTTCGGTCATATTGTTCATATTCATTATCTGAATTTGTAATGTGGTTTGCATAAAACTGTTTAGAATGTTGGTGGTAGCAGTAGTGAAGAACTTTTGATTTCACCTTTGGATAATATTGGCAAAATAGAATTAAAACACCATGAATAAATGGCTGTTAGAATGGCCTATCCAATTAGTGACTGTAATGTTGAATTAGAATTAAGTTGAATGCTACTGGATATGATTGTAAACATGGTGCAGCTTGAACTATTCCTCCGCCAGCACTTGCTTTGTGTGCTACTCTTCTTCAATTGTTAGTGTGCATATATTATGATTTTGCTGGTGAGCTCTAATTCTGTATTGTTCAACAAACAGGTTATTTCTTCTTGGTTTGGACAAATATGGTAAAGGCGATTGGCGGAGTATATCTCGCAACTTTGTGGTTACCAGAACGCCAACACAAGTGGCAAGCCATGCACAAAAATACTTCATCCGTTTGAACTCGATGAACAAAGATAGGAGGCGATCAAGCATTCATGATATCACCAGTGTTAACAATGGAGAGATTTCAGCAGCCCAAGGACCAATCACAGGTCAAACTAATGTTTCGGCTTCAGGCGCTTCCTCTGGCAAATCAGCGAAACAGCAACCACAACATCCAGCTGGGCCTCCGGCTGTTGGCATGTATGGTACTCCTACTATAGGTCAACCAATAGGAGGACCACTTGTCTCAGCTGTTGGTACCCCGGTGAATCTTCCAGCTCCAGCACACATGGCATATGGCGTTAGAGCTCCAGTACCTGGAGCAGTGGTTCCTGGTGCACCAATGAACGTTGGTGCTATGCCATACCCGATGCCACACACATCTGCTCATAGGTGATGTTGTGTATTAGCTTTAAAATGTACAAAGGAGAAGACTACTTTGCTTGTGCCAATGTTCGTTAGTGGGTTCTCCATCCAAATTAGCCTGAATAAGGTTGCTTATTTGCAAGCACAATTTGTCTGATGCACAACTGTCATTTGTTTAAATTTTCAATAAGCCATAGGGAGAGAAAATACATGCAATCTGTATAGACAACTTTTTAAAATTTATGGGTAGGAGTAGCGGTCTAGTATCTTTTGTCTTGAGAACTTTAAAATTATTAGTTGTAGAAGTAGTCAGTTCTGTTTATTTATTTATTTTTTTTTTTTTGGCAGAAGCTGTAAAGAACCCTTTCTATTTGACTATTTTGAGTAGTAGCTTATCTGAGCACATATTGTGCCTGGCTTTGCCATAAATCTATTTACATTACTGTTCTTGAATTTCTTTGTATGATAGGTGGGCTTTCACGTAACTAACGACATCGTTTTCTCGTAATTTCTCCTTGGATGCCATTGAAATGAAAAGTAAATTTAGTTCATCCAAGTAAATTTTTCTGAGTCTCTAAAAATATCTCTTTAAAGAAAAAGTGTTAAATGTTGTAATTCAACTCAATTGCTAATATTATAACAAATCAAATTTAAAATAAAAATTTATTAAAGTTATGCAACGGAAAGTTATTGAAAGTAAATCGATGCTAATGTATACACACATTTTAGTAAAACAAATCTGTAGAATTAGAAAAGACGCCCATAACGGGGCTTTTAATGAGTTCCCAAACTAATCAGACCTACACAAAATAAAATGAGGCTATCTAATATTTTTCTTAACGACCAGAGTCTCCAGAATGAGATCACTTTAGTGTCGCTGTTTTGTTTGATGTTGAATCATTGAACTCATGACTTCAACGCCTTCATCAACTCACTTTCTTACCATAAAAAACACCTTCATTTCCACTAAGAATCATATACACACTTCCCTAAATACCCCTCTCCATACATCAAATTCACCAATTTGGACTGCCTCAGAGATAGCTGAATCTGTCCATGGCAAATTACTCAAATGGGGTCCTCCAGGCACCATTTGTACGGACACCAGAGCCTTACAACCCAACACAAACCAATGGTTCTTCGCCATCACAGGCCAACACTTCGATGCTCACGACTTCATTTCTCCCCAATTGTATGGTAAAGGCTGTGTTGGCGTCATTGGGAACCGGGTTTGCGAGGGCTGGGACAAGGGTTTTGTTCAAGTTGAAGGTAATGGCAAAGTTAACACTGTTGATTCATTGATAAATATGGCTTCTTATGCAAGAAAAAAGAGGTTTAATGGTGTTTTAGTTGGGGTTACTGGTAGTGTAGGGAAAAGTACAACCAAGAGTATGATAGCTTTGGCTCTTGAAAGTTTAGGAGTTAATGTATTCAAAAGTTATGGGAATTGGAATAACAGAGTTGGTGTTGCTTTAAGTTTGATTGGGATGGATAGAAATGTTGATATTGCTGTTTTGGAGATGGGAATGAGTGGAAAGGGGGAGATATTGGAGCTAGCAAGGATGGTGAGGCCGGAGATAAGGGTGGTTTTGAATGTGGGTGCTTCACATTTGGAGAATTTAGGGAGTTTGGAGGAGGTTGCAATGGCGAAAAGTGAGATTTTTAGGGAAGCCAAGCTGGGGGATATTTGTGTTTTCAATGCTGATGATCCTCTTGTTTCAACCCTTCCGGTGCCTCACGGTGTTAGGAAGGTATGTTACAATTCTTGGGTTTCATTTGCTTTTTAATTTAATTTAATTTAATTTTTCCAGATTTGGGAGCTTTTGAGTTGTTCTGAATTAGTGGAAACTGAATTGGTTTTAATATGACACGTTTCTCATAGATTCGGGAAGTACTTTTTGTTTGAGCTCTTCTTAAATGTTAGTGTTTTAGCCGGTATAATCTTTTGAGAAATAGTAAGGTTTGGGGAATGGAGGAAGTGCTCTGGCCATTTTACCATTCGAATTTAAACATCCCATTTTTTCTGAGATGCTCTTGATGAAGCAATATATCATTGACAGAAATGTACTGTAACTTAGAATATTCTTAGATTCTATAACTATAAGAAGGCTCATATATTCATATATTACATTGCCACTTGTTATTTCATCAAATGTGGCACTTTTGTTCTTATTGAATTTACTTATTCAGTTCATGGAGGGAATAACAATCTATTCCCTTTCATTTTGGCTTACATTTAATGTGTCTGTTTTGGGTTTTTTAGGTGTTTTTTGGTCGGAGAATGGGATGTGATGTTCGGTTGGTTGCGGCTGAAACTGCAGATGGAGGTCTTGGAGTTCGAGTTGTTTTAGAAAAAGAGAAAGAGATGTAAGTTCTTAGTAGCATTTCTCACAAAATAGTAAATATTGTGAATTTTCAAATATATAGGAGCTAGAAAATTTACACCTTTACATATTTAACATTATTTTGGATGGACCTTGAGCAATAAGTTCTTTCTTTGAACCTTTTTCTGGTTGAATAACTTTGCCACCTTTAAATGAGGAGTAATACACGGATTTTCAATCCTTTTAAAATTAACATTCTAAGTTCATGTTTTACATGGAACTTTTTCTGAAGTTCTACCATTAGATGTTCATCTTAACCTTCTGGGAGATTGAAAGTTGTAAAAGAGTAAAAGTTCCAATGGTTTGAAATTCTTTGATGCTTGCTGATTGATAAATCATTTGTATTTGATTGTAACCAATATAATGAACCTTTTTACCATCAGATTCAAACAAGTTTATAATCTTTTTGGACTCTCAGTCCCTTCAATAAGTTGTGAGGATGAATGTTATTATTAATATCTTTGAATGCTATTAATTAGCTCAATTTCTTTCAGCTTTTATTGATCTTGTAATAACTAATTTTGTTTTTGAAATTTGTATGAATTAAATTCAAGATTGCTCTCCTTCTTTATCTATATATCAATGTCTCCACCAATTAGCCTGAATAAGGTTGCTTATTTGCAAGCACAATTTGTCTGATGCACAACTGTCATTTGTTTAAATTTTCAATAAGCCATAGGGAAGAAAATCCATGCAATCTGTATAGACAACTTTTTAAAATTTATGGGTAGAGTAGCGGTCTAGTATCTTTTGTCTTGAGAACTTTAAAATTATTAGTTTAGAAGTATCAGTTCTTTTGTTTATTTATTTATTTTTTTTTTTTTGGCAGAAGCTGTAAAGAACCTTTCTATTTGACTATTTTGAGTAGTAGCTTATCTGAGCACATATTGTGCCTGGCTTTGCCATAATCTATTTACATTACTGTTCTTGAATTTCTTTGTATGATAGGTGCATAAAACCAGGGTACAAGCTGCATTAGTATAAGTTAGTGATCTTAATGGTAATGTTCCTTTTCACTGGTGTTCATATTCTCGGCTGTAAGCAGTCTTTATTATAGAAAGGAAAGTATGAGACTGAATCAAACACATGTACCGCCCTGATATTGCCATAGCATAAGGTGTTTGGAAATGGTGGAATTAGTTGGATAAGAGGACCATGACAACAATGACAACCATAACCCTTGGTAAAGTGATTTTATTCTTTTGATCTATGATCATAATTCCCCAATGTGCTAATGTTTTGTGCTGATATGAAGTGGGAAGCATTCTTAATAACCATTCTAGATTAATATATATTTTTATGATGGACCAATGAAAACAATGATAGATGGTGAAAGTCTGCACCTTGATTGTGCCAAATGAGGATTCCTTAAACTGATAGTCAATTTAGCTCAGCATTTTAGATTTATCTACTTTGTGGGGGACATTTTTCTTAGATTACATGGTGGAACCCATAGTGAAGGTTTTGCTGTAAGTTGTGAATCAATAATCATTGTTGGAAGATTTTAGCCTCTCTAGTTTGCAAAAGGCAATTGTGAATTATTTGAGCCATTGAAAAAAACACACATGGAAGTAAGACAACTTATTCAATGTTATAATTAAAGCCACGTATTCTATGTTATAACCGAATCAATTGAATGCGAGGATTTAAATGCAGAACTTTTTGCTTCATCTAGCTATACCATGTTGAGTAACCAACTTAAGCTAATAGCCATGTATCTTTTACATCAATCAGTTATTTTCTCAGAGCTGTAGTAGTATATTTTCTTTTATATAATTTCTCTTCTTGTGGGACGTAATATGTTATACCATTGACAAAAATTACGAAGATAGTGAAATGAAAATTTTTATCCTTTCAGTAGTACCCTTGTGGTTGGAATCTTGAATAATATTTTCCTTTTCATTAATCAGTTATTTATTGATGTTTAACACTTGTTGTCATTTAGTAGTTCAACTCATGTTTGATTTGAAGAATATTAGTAGTGGTTATATATAAATATATAAACACCTTCAGAAAGATTTTGTTGATAAGTTGCCTAAATTTTCTCTAATAAAAAAAGTAACCTAAATGTTTCAGTTAGGTTTCCTAGTCAGATTTAATTAATCTGATTTTGAGTTCCATTCTTGAAAAGAGTAAATTACTTGAGGAGAAAAGGTCTTGGGACTCTTAGTCAGCCTTTATACAGTTAGGCCTCCAATCTTGGATGGTATTGATGAAATACTCCTATTGAACAACTTTAGCAGTTGCCTTATGGAATGAATAATGCTAAACCATGGTAAACTTTACATAATAAATTGATGAACACAGCAGCAAATTTGTACTCTAGAAACATTAAGGGATTGCATCATGGCTAGTACTGCACAGAAAGTTTGACAACAAAATAATCTTGTATGCAGAGGTGCAATAATTTCATGTGGGAATGTGAGGAAAGAATATTAGCTGCTATCTGCTATTGGAGTTAGTAGAAAGGATGAGAAGTGCATATTTTCGATGAAGAGTTCGGTCATATTGTTCATATTCATTATCTGAATTTGTAATGTGGTTTGCATAAAACTGTTTAGAATGTTGGTGGTAGCAGTAGTGAAGAACTTTTGATTTCACCTTTGGATAATATTGGCAAAATAGAATTAAAACACCATGAATAAATGGCTGTTAGAATGGCCTATCCAATTAGTGACTGTAATGTTGAATTAGAATTAAGTTGAATGCTACTGGATATGATTGTAAACATGGTGCAGCTTGAACTATTCCTCCGCCAGCACTTGCTTTGTGTGCTACTCTTCTTCAATTGTTAGTGTGCATATATTATGATTTTGCTGGTGAGCTCTAATTCTGTATTGTTCAACAAACAGGTTATTTCTTCTTGGTTTGGACAAATATGGTAAAGGCGATTGGCGGAGTATATCTCGCAACTTTGTGGTTACCAGAACGCCAACACAAGTGGCAAGCCATGCACAAAAATACTTCATCCGTTTGAACTCGATGAACAAAGATAGGAGGCGATCAAGCATTCATGATATCACCAGTGTTAACAATGGAGAGATTTCAGCAGCCCAAGGACCAATCACAGGTCAAACTAATGATTCGGCTTCAGGCGCTTCCTCTGGCAAATCAGCGAAACAGCAACCACAACATCCAGCTGGGCCTCCGGCTGTTGGCATGTATGGTACTCCTACTATAGGTCAACCAATAGGAGGACCACTTGTCTCAGCTGTAGGTACCCCGGTGAATCTTCCAGCTCCAGCACACATGGCATATGGCGTTAGAGCTCCAGTACCTGGAGCAGTGGTTCCTGGTGCACCAATGAACGTTGGTGCTATGCCATACCCGATGCCACACACATCTGCTCATAGGTGATGTTGTGTATTAGCTTTAAAATGTACAAAGGAGAAGACTACTTTGCTTGTGCCAATGTTCGTTAGTGGGTTCTCCATCCAAATTAGCCTGAATAAGGTTGCTTATTTGCAAGCACAATTTGTCTGATGCACAACTGTCATTTGTTTAAATTTTCAATAAGCCATAGGGAGAGAAAATACATGCAATCTGTATAGACAACTTTTTAAAATTTATGGGTAGGAGTAGCGGTCTAGTATCTTTTGTCTTGAGAACTTTAAAATTATTAGTTGTAGAAGTAGTCAGTTCTGTTTATTTATTTATTTTTTTTTTTTTGGCAGAAGCTGTAAAGAACCCTTTCTATTTGACTATTTTGAGTAGTAGCTTATCTGAGCACATATTGTGCCTGGCTTTGCCATAAATCTATTTACATTACTGTTCTTGAATTTCTTTGTATGATAGGTGGGCTTTCACGTAACTAACGACATCGTTTTCTCGTAATTTCTCCTTGGATGCCATTGAAATGAAAAGTAAATTTAGTTCATCCAAGTAAATTTTTCTGAGTCTCTAAAAATATCTCTTTAAAGAAAAAGTGTTAAATGTTGTAATTCAACTCAATTGCTAATATTATAACAAATCAAATTTAAAATAAAAATTTATTAAAGTTATGCAACGGAAAGTTATTGAAAGTAAATCGATGCTAATGTATACACACATTTTAGTAAAACAAATCTGTAGAATTAGAAAAGACGCCCATAACGGGGCTTTTAATGAGTTCCCAAACTAATCAGACCTACACAAAATAAAATGAGGCTATCTAATATTTTTCTTAACGACCAGAGTCTCCAGAATGAGATCACTTTAGTGTCGCTGTTTTGTTTGATGTTGAATCATTGAACTCATGACTTCAACGCCTTCATCAACTCACTTTCTTACCATAAAAAACACCTTCATTTCCACTAAGAATCATATACACACTTCCCTAAATACCCCTCTCCATACATCAAATTCACCAATTTGGACTGCCTCAGAGATAGCTGAATCTGTCCATGGCAAATTACTCAAATGGGGTCCTCCAGGCACCATTTGTACGGACACCAGAGCCTTACAACCCAACACAAACCAATGGTTCTTCGCCATCACAGGCCAACACTTCGATGCTCACGACTTCATTTCTCCCCAATTGTATGGTAAAGGCTGTGTTGGCGTCATTGGGAACCGGGTTTGCGAGGGCTGGGACAAGGGTTTTGTTCAAGTTGAAGGTAATGGCAATGTTAACACTGTTGATTCATTGATAAATATGGCTTCTTATGCAAGAAACAAGAGGTTTAATGGTGTTTTAGTTGGGGTTACTGGTAGTGTAGGGAAAAGTACAACCAAGAGTATGATAGCTTTGGCTCTTGAAAGTTTAGGAGTTAATGTATTCAAAAGTTATGGGAATTGGAATAACAGAGTTGGTGTTGCTTTAAGTTTGATTGGGATGGATAGAAATGTTGATATTGCTGTTTTGGAGATGGGAATGAGTGGAAAGGGGGAGATATTGGAGCTAGCAAGGATGGTGAGGCCGGAGATAAGGGTGGTTTTGAATGTGGGTGCTTCACATTTGGAGAATTTAGGGAGTTTGGAGGAGGTTGCAATGGCGAAAAGTGAGATTTTTAGGGAAGCCAAGCTGGGGGATATTTGTGTTTTCAATGCTGATGATCCTCTTGTTTCAACCCTTCCGGTGCCTCACGGTGTTAGGAAGGTATGTTACAATTCTTGGGTTTCATTTGCTTTTTAATTTAATTTAATTTAATTTTTCCAGATTTGGGAGCTTTTGAGTTGTTCTGAATTAGTGGAAACTGAATTGGTTTTAATATGACACGTTTCTCATAGATTCGGGAAGTACTTTTTGTTTGAGCTCTTCTTAAATGTTAGTGTTTTAGCCGGTATAATCTTTTGAGAAATAGTAAGGTTTGGGGAATGGAGGAAGTGCTCTGGCCATTTTACCATTCGAATTTAAACATCCCATTTTTTCTGAGATGCTCTTGATGAAGCAATATATCATTGACAGAAATGTACTGTAACTTAGAATATTCTTAGATTCTATAACTATAAGAAGGCTCATATATTCATATATTACATTGCCACTTGTTATTTCATCAAATGTGGCACTTTTGTTCTTATTGAATTTACTTATTCAGTTCATGGAGGGAATAACAATCTATTCCCTTTCATTTTGGCTTACATTTAATGTGTCTGTTTTGGGTTTTTTAGGTGTTTTTTGGTCGGAGAATGGGATGTGATGTTCGGTTGGTTGCGGCTGAAACTGCAGATGGAGGTCTTGGAGTTCGAGTTGTTTTAGAAAAAGAGAAAGAGATGTAAGTTCTTAGTAGCATTTCTCACAAAATAGTAAATATTGTGAATTTTCAAATATATAGGAGCTAGAAAATTTACACCTTTACATATTTAACATTATTTTGGATGGACCTTGAGCAATAAGTTCTTTCTTTGAACCTTTTTCTGGTTGAATAACTTTGCCACCTTTAAATGAGGAGTAATACACGGATTTTCAATCCTTTTAAAATTAACATTCTAAGTTCATGTTTTACATGGAACTTTTTCTGAAGTTCTACCATTAGATGTTCATCTTAACCTTCTGGGAGATTGAAAGTTGTAAAAGAGTAAAAGTTCCAATGGTTTGAAATTCTTGGATGCTTGCTGATTGATAAATCATTTGTATTTGATTGTAATCAATATAATGAACCTTTTTACTATCAGATTCAAACAAGTTTATAATCTTTTTGGACTCTCAGTCCCTTCAATAAGTTGTGAGGATGAATGTTATTATTAATATCTTTGAATGCTATTAATTAGCTCAATTTCTGTCAGCTTTTATTGATCTTCTAATAACTAATTTTGTTTTTGAAATTTGTATGAATTAAATTCAAGATTGCTCTCCTCCTTTATCTATATATCAATTGTCTTCATGACTTCTGATTTCTTAATTATTCATGGGTACAAAACATTATCGAACTTTTTGGCTCATTGTGTATAGTCCACAAATGATGTGAAAGCTTTTGCAACAAACATGTCTTGGTGTTCTGTCCATACGTCTGTTTGATTATTGTCATCTTCTATTGGTGATAGTTTTTCTTTTGTATACTTGTAATAAACTGCTCACGCCCACAATAATAATGGCAAGGTGGGGTGTTATTCAGGGTGAAGTTTGTGATTCCTAGTCCAGGCCTGCATTTGGCCCTCGATGCATGTGCAGCAGCAGCAGTGGCAACTCTGTTTGGGCTTTCTCTTGCTCAAGTTGGAAAATCCTTTTCCAAATTTGTTCCTGTACACATGAGGTCAGAGCTTCAAGTTGCCAGAAATGGCATCAAGATAGTCAATGATGCTTACAATGCCAATCCTCTTAGCACCAGAGCTGCCATTGACTTGCTACAAAGTATTGCTTGTGATGGTAACAGAGTTGCCATTTTAGGAGACATGTTGGAACTTGGCTCAATCGAGATAGAGTCTCATGAGAAGATATTAAGTCATTGTTGTGATTCCAATATTGATTTAGTTGGCCTTGCTGGAAATAGATTTCTTATAGCGGCAAAGAATATGAATCTAAATAGAGTAAAAAATATTGTACATGCCAATGATGCCAAATTCCTTGCTCAGAAAATTGTTAAGAGATTAAAATTTAATGATGTTGTTCTGGTAAAGGGTAGTCGTGCAATGCAGATGGAAAAAGTGGTCGATACAATTAAGGCGATGAGTATACACATTCCGCCATAAGAGTTATGAGAATACCTTTGGAACTTCTTTTAGGTCTGGCTCTCTATCTCAACTCCTTTGCTTTCACTCTCCTGCCCTTGTTACTTTAAAATTTCATCAGCATAATAGTTCTCTGGGTTGGCTCTGGTCAAAACTAGGCCACCTTGTGAATAAAAGACCCTTGTGAAAAAAATGTCTTTTATTCACAAAAGAAACTCGATCTAAAATAAAATAAGATTTTATTTTATGATTCACACTGAAAACGTTATAAGTTTGCTCTTTCTTTGCTGACATCTTTTGCTCAACCAAGAACATACTGATTGGAATTGGTTAAATACAATTGTTTTTATGTGTAGGACCATGGTTGACTTGTAGGATTATCAATCACGAAGTTATGTTCACTCCAAGAAGTCCCATATTAAATTTACCTAACGAATAATTAAGACCTCATTTTTTTTTTAGTTGGATACTTCACTTTTGCTGGTACATTACACCGCTCTGTATTTGGCTGTTAATATTATTGCAACCATTGACTGAATCTGTGCATTTTTTATCCATGTGGGCATAGATATCTACTGCATTGAACCTTGTTTGTGGAAACAAAGCAACATTGTACTTGTTCTAACCATTAATGATGTTGGTAGATGTCGAAGCTGACAGTAACCACTTGCGGGTTCAGTCATCTCATGACAGTCTTTTGGATGAGAAATTTTTACAAGCTATAAAGGGGCTAGCTGGTCCTCACTTTTATCTACCCCACCATTCAGTGCACATTTCAATTTCAACAGGGTGGTCGCCGGCTACTCAAATGGCGATTTCATTAGGTTAGTTTTCTGTAGATTGGGATTGGGGATGATAGTGTTGTTCCCATCCCTTTCCCATATCTTCCTTATGTATTCCAATCCATTTTCAGTCTATGTATATTTATATTTTTCCATCCATGGTTATTATTAATAGTCCATATAATGCTGATTTTCATGCTAGACTTTGAGATGAAGAAACCAAATTGAGAAGGACAGTAGTAAGAGCCTACTGTAGGGACAGTGCCGAGTGTGGACACGGACCAAGTTCATGACAATGTGCTTTCATATTGCTACATGTTAAAAGAGATTATTTGAAAGAGAATGACTTGATAATAGCAAGAAGCAAAAGCAACTGGGAAAAATAGGAAGACATTAAGTGCAAGGCTTCTTCCTCGTATCAATCACACGATAGCCTGAATATGTTGTTCATGCTTCTACCTAAAATGTACTCATGAAGCTGAAAATTATGTACATATATTTCATAAAAGATATGTACCAAAGACCTCTTGAAGCTGAAAATGGGATTGAAAGATTGATTCTTGTAATGGGTTTGGATTTTGGAAGGTTCAGTTTGTGGTGGTAATGGGCTATAAAGAAGCGAATTGACATTAAACACAAATCTCAACTTCACAAAGAGACACACTGCTAGTGGTACAACTGTAGAAACATAAGAACTTAAATATTAATGGAACAACACAATGCCTGCATGAATAGAGCTAGCTAATCCTAAGCTTGGTCCACTTGAATCCATATTGACTGCTGACCAAATAACATCCGATCACTCTCTCTCATCACCTCAATTCTGAACTGGCCATCTTCAAGCTCACCGAAAATAAGTAAATCAGCAGGCTTAAGACCTTCTTCTTGAACAAATGGAATCCACTGGCCAGTAAAAATAGGTCTTTTATGACGTACAGTACTAGAGAAACGAAACCTCCATGTTCTGTCGGTCCTAGGGTTGGCTCGTTAACGGCTCGGTTCGTCTGATAATGAGCCGGCTCGACTCAGCTCATGAGATAGAACGAGCCAAGTTCGAGTCATGCTCGGCTCGGCTCGTTAGGTTCGCGAGCCGAGCCTGGCTCGAAATACCGGGTTTTTTTTTGAGATTTTCTGAACTACTAGGATTTAATTGAAAATAATGCAATACAAGTTTTAAAAAATAACAAAATGGCTCCCGTTATTAAAATCCCCAAATCGTCGAAATCCTTCGCCAGTAGAACCCTTGCTGTAAAAGTTCAAACTTCAAACTCCTCCCAAACTAACGATTTTGTTCTCCATCATCAACACAAATTTCCGTCGCATTTTCGTGGGATCTTCTTTATCTTCGTCGGATCTTCGTCATCTTTGCGGGATCTTCGTCATCGTCGTCTGATCTTCGTCGGATCTTCGTCATCTTTGTCCGAGCTTCGTCATCTTCGTCGGATCTTCATCATCTTCGTCGGATCTTCATCATTTTCGTGGGATTTTTGTCGGATTTTAATCGGTGAGTAGGGGTTTCTTCAAACTGTATGGTTGTTTGTTTGGGGTTTCTTCAAACTATATGATTTTTGTCGGATTTTAACTTGTTTTTTCGTGAATTGTTTGTCTCTAATAGGGGGCTTTTTCCGGTGAAAGAATTCAGGAAGAGTAGACTGAAATTGCTTTACTGGTGGTTGACCGTCGTGGTGTTGCTATGAAACCCATACAAGTTTACTATCTGTGTACTATCTGTGAAAAGCAGTGCCGTGTATTGGGTCTGTTTCACTGTTTGTTTAAATTGCTTTACTGAAATTGAAATTGTTTGTGAATTGTGATTGTGGAGTTGTGGGGCAAAATTTCAATTGCAAAGGAGTTTGTTAATGGTTGTTAATTTATAAATTTGTTTGTGGGAATGTGGTTCTGGCGTTTTGCATTTGGTGGTGGGGACTGGCTGACTGGGCAATTTATAAATATGTTTGTGGGAATGTGGTTCTGCATCTGGTGGTGGGGACTGGGCAATTTAAAAATTTGTTTCTGGCTTGTGGGAATGTGGTTCTGCATTTGGTGGTGGGGACTAGCCGACTGGGCACTTTATATATATGTTTGTGGGAATGTGGTTCTACATTTGGAGGTGGGGACTGAGCAATTTAAAAATGTGTTAGCTCATTTTGTACCAGTTTTGGGAAGCTGTCGAGCCAATACCATGTATTACTTTCATAATCCATGGTCATATTGATAGAAGATTGAATCTAGCTTTAAATCACACCACAATTTCATCTAATTTAATTTAATTAATTGTAATTAAAGGAGTCATTAATCCACCCAAAAACACTTGTGGTATAGATCTGTAATCTGTTTTTAAGATTTTATGTCGTATAATGGATAAATATATGACATAAATGTACTGTGTAGAGTGTACAAGAATTAATCATTTCCTTCAGCATCTTATATGTAAGTAATTAAACAAAGATATAATTAATTAAAAACTGCAAAAATTATATAAAAAAAGAAAAAAAAATGGGTTTAGGGTGAATAAATAGAGCATTTAATTCTTCAACCAATATCTCTAATTAAAGAATAAATGAATGTTGGGATGTATTGGTGACAATTAATATTGGTCTGCAATGTATAATGTATTGGTTTGATGTGTATGCAATGTAATAGTTTGGCATTATTTCATGTTGGTTTTGCATTAAATTGTTGATTTTTTTTTTTCCATTTATAGGTTTGTAAATGGAGGGTAATTCCTCAAGTACCCCTGCAATACAAGATACAATTACCGATACACCTGGCGGTAACCTTAACTTGAATGCAACTATAATAAATACGGAGCAAAGTATTAGTAGCCCGAATAATAGTGATGAAAATCAAAATCCGATCCAGAAGCAAAAAAGAGTGAAGACATCAGTGCTATGGACGGAGTTCAAGGAGGTGGTACTCCCTATGGTATCAGAAAGGCTGAGTGTATCCATTGCAAAGTCAAGTTGTGTATTAATGCCACTGGAAGCACCACCCAGTTCAATAGACATTTAAGCCGGTGTTTAAGGAGAAAAGCTTCCATGAGGCAACAATATATTAGTTTTCCGAGTGCCGGTAATGATGTTGCAACTACTATTTTGCCAGCTTTAAGTGGGAAGTTTGACATGTCAAAAATGAGGGAATTGATCGCCCATTTGGTGCTTATGCATGAGCATCCATTTACAGTTGTGGAGGAAGAGAGCTTGAACAATATGATGAAGTATGGGATTCCTGGATAGATTCTGGTTTCCCGCCATATTTGTAAAAAAGATTGTATGAAGGTATATGAAAGTGAGAAGGCTAAATTGAAGACTTTGTTGAAGAGTGTGACAAAAATCAATTTGACTACAGACTTATGGAATTCAAGGAATCAAAAGATGGAGTATATGGTGTTGATCGGGCATTGGATAGATAGTACTTGGAGGCTGAATAGACTTATCCTCAACTTTGTTCGTCTACCTCCTCCCCGAACTAGTATTGCGATTGCGGACGGCATTTTCAAGTGCCTAATGGGATGAGGAATTGAAAATAAGGTATATACTATTTCTGTGGATAATGCTTTAAGTAATGATGTTGCGATTAAGGTTTTGAAGGAAAATTTTGAAGTTTAGGGGAAACTCCTTTTTGGAGGTAAACCGTTTCATGTGAGATGTTGCGCACACATCTTGAACTTGATTGTTCAAGATGGACTTCATCAAATTAGGCACATCATTGACGACATCTATGAGAGTGTGTTGTATATCAACAGTTCAAAAAGCAGGCTGAAGGTATTTTCTGAGATTATTCAACAACTTAAATTGCCGTATCGAAAACTTATTCTCCATTGTAAAACAAGGTGGAGTTCTACCTATGAAATGTCGGCAACGACAATTAAGTTCAAAAAGGTTTTTCCAAGATTGAAAGAGAAGGATATCAATTATCATAATAATTCGAGTGACGAGGATTGGGAGAAAGTGGAGAAAGTCTGTGAAGTTTTAAAAGTATTTAGTGGTTCAACCAAACTCATTTCAGGAAGTGATTATCCGAAGTCTAATTTATTCTTGAAGAAGGAGTGTGTAGTGAAATGTATGTTGGATAGTAAAAGTGAACCTGAAGATGATTTTATTAGAGTAATAGTTAGGAAAATGAAACAGAAGTTTGATAAATATTGGGGGGAATGTAATGTATTGATGTCTGTGGCTGCTGTATTGGATCCTCAGTTGAAAATGAGGGTTATTCAGTGGGCATTCCCTAAGATGTATTCTGAGGCAGAAGGACGGACAAATATGATGACGGTCCGGGATGCATTGTATGAGTTATATGGGGAACATGTTCAAACTAACCAAGGTGTGACTATCGCTCGTGCTTCTACATCACAAGGGGATGGACATGGAGCCATTGGTGAGGTGGCTGCGATTGAGGGAGTCGAGGTCTGGGCTGATTTTAGAACTTTTCTGGACGTGGTTGAAACTGTTGAGCCTAGTAAGTCTGAGTTGGACTGTTATTTGGGAGAGGGATGCCATAAGTGTGTGGGGGATCATGACTCATTCGATGCCTTACAGCGGTGGAAGGCAAATTCAACCAAGTTTCCTATATTGTCTACGATGGCTCGAGAGATACTAGCCATCCCGATCACTACGGTTGCTTCAGAGTCTGCATTCAGTGTTGGGAGCAGGGTTATTGATAGTTACCAAGCTTCTTTGTCACTAGCTACGGTGGAGATGTCGTTATGTGGATGTGACCGGTGTCGCACTTTGAATTGAGTAAAGAAAGGGTGCAAAGTAAGTTCCATTGCTTACATGTTTTGTTTAATTCAATATTTAAAATGACTTTATTCTAACCTATAGATTATTTTTTATCTCTTTTTCATTTTAGAAAGAGGAGGATGAGGATCACTTGGAGATTCAGCTTCTTGTTCTGTCAGGTGATCAGAGTCAGCAGATTGGTTGATTCACTCGTGAGTTATTGGCTGTGGCAGTAGGATTCTCCAGGTCTATATTTATTACTTTTGTGTTCAGGATTGCATTTTCATCTTTATGGTTTATATAAAATGACAATTGTACTTAATGTGTTTCACATAAATTTGTTTGTAGGAGGAGTGGGGCTACAATGGACATACATCCAATTGTCTTTTGCTGTTATATATATTTTTTGATGGATGGGGATGTAACTTGATGTATAGTTATGCTAATCCCCCATTTTGTTTTTATGAAAACTTAATTAAGTCAAGTGAACTAAACAAAAAATATTTAGTTCACTTAACTTAATTTGTGGTACATACAATATGTTGAATGATAAATTGTTAATAGCAGTAGCATTTCATTTAATGTTGATTTTAAGTAGGTTTAATTGTTGGGTGATGTATGAGGACATGAGAAGACATTCAGACAATCAGATTCAGACTTGTGTGCTGCCCAGCAAATTAAAAATAAATAAATGAAAAGTGAAAATTTAGAATTTAGAATTTAGTTTGACTGTTTGAGGATGGCGAAAAATAAATGAATCAGTTTGACAAAATAAATGAAAAGTGGAAAATTTAACAAAAAGCATCAGACATTAGTGATTCTTCCTCTGCCCAGCAAATTAATGAAAAGTGAAATACATCAGTTTGGCAATTTAGACAATCAGATGCGCAATGCTGCCTAGCAAATTT